ACAGTTGGTCAATTTTCCTCATTATATACAATAATAAAGTATATAATAATTATAATATATTATATAGATTAAAATTATAACAAATATAGCTAAGAGCTATTGTGTACTTTCTATGGGCTAGACATTTTGCTAAATACTTTATGTACTATAGCTCAATTAATCATTACATTTACCTTCAGAGTTATGATGAAGTCTGTTTTAGCCACAGAAAAAGAAATCCTGAAAAATTTAAGTTGACTTTAGAATTGTATTGCATTTTTAACTTAGCCAGGAGGCAGATTCTGAACTTCTAACCTTTGCTTCATACCAGTAGAGCAACTTAGCTTACTAAAAGAATAAACTCATTTTAGGAAGTTGATTATATCTTTTGTTGTTATTTTTGTTGTTGTTATGTGCTGTGTAGTCAGTTCCAACTCATAGCGACCCTGTACAGGGTTTCCAAGGCTGTAAATCTTTACAGGAGCAGAAAGCCTCCTCTTTCTCCTGTGGAGCAGCTGGTAGTTTCAAACTGCTGACTCTGAGGTTCCGACTCATAGTGACCCTGTGTAAGGCTTCCAAGGAGCTACTGGGGAACTTGAATCACCGACCTTCTGGTTCACACTGGCTTTGCAGTCTAGCACCTTAATCCACAGCGCCACACCAGGACTTCACATGTACCAAATAACAAGGCAATTTCAATCTGTTATACATTCAGCTGAAATGCATGCATATGTGAGCATGCATAGGATGGGGCTTCGTGGAAAAAGGTATTAAAAGACAATGTAAAATTTCCAACAACTTTTCGAAGTCCCCTCATACATGCAAAATTGTTCATATCAACATTACTGATGATAACTCCAAGATGAAATAATCCAAATATTTGTTAACAGCAGAATGGATCGATACATTTTGGTATAGTCATTCAATGAAACATTTTACACACTGAAAGTGAATGAACTATCTAGAACCATATGGATTAATTTAGTAAACAAAATTTTGAACATATATGCCAACCAGAGGAAACTACATTCTGCAACATTCCATTTATATAAAGTTCATAAATGGACAAAAGCATACCTTGGAGGGAGATAGTGGATAATGGTTAAGAAAGTGCATAAGATGCAATGTCTAGAACACTTATGATTTTCTGGCCAGGGTGGCGGTTACATGAACTGTTTTCTTGTGAAAATTCATAGAGGTAGATACCTTTTTTCTCTCTTAATTGAATTTTTACATCGCTGTGGTTGTTAAGTACTGTCGAGTCAATTCTAACTCATAGTGACCCTGTATGGGGTTTATGAAGAGTAGCTGGTGAGTCTGAACTGCCAACCTTGCAATTCAAACTGACCTGAGGTCTTAGGGCTTATCCAACAGCACCACACCAAGATAAAAGATCATTTGGATCCATAAAGAGATGTACTATTTTATTTTTTTAAACTTTATATAGAGATGTCAATTCTTCTCAAATTAGCCTGTAAAATTTATAGATTTCAATGCAAATTCCAGTTGCATTTCTGAAGGAATAAATAGATAATTTTCAAACTTATTTTAAAGGTCTATGAAAAGGTAGGTAAGTTAACTTCAAAAAAGAAAAGCAAAAACAAAACAATTGGTTTTTACATTGACTATGTCAGCATTTTCTTTTCTAGAGCATGGTTATAGAAATAGTGAATTTATAACAATTACAGAAAAAACAAAGACTAATGTAATAGAAGCCGTATTTCAGAGATGAACCAATAGAAATACGACCATGTAATATACTTTAAAAATAACAACATAACATGGGGAAAAGGTGGTACTGGAAGATCAGGTCTATTATATGGAGAAAACTAAAACTGGCTCCCTGTACACTTCATGACAAAGTGTCCTCCAAATGTATTAAAAACTAAATGTAAACCATAGAACCATAAAGCTGATATACAATCACTTAAGAGAATATCTTTGTAACCTATACATAAAGAGGAACATTTTATGCAAAGACTCAAAGTCACAAACCATGTGGCAAACAATTAGTAGGAACAGTTTAGGAACACAGGGAACCACTGTGTAATTCAAATGGTTAATGCACTTGGCTGCTAGCTGAAGGGCTAGAGGTTTGAGTCCACACAGGAGTATCATGGAACAAAGGTCTGATGACCAACTTTCAAAACATCAGCTCTTGAAAACCCTATGGAACACAGTTCTACTCTGACACACATGGAATTGCTAAGAGTCAAAATTGTTGCATGACACCTGATCTTTAAAATTATTTATTTAGAAACACATAGGCATTTCATAATATTGTACTCATGGCAAAACATGATCTAATTCCAATCAATCAATTCACTGGGGAATTAAACAAAACCCTATTGTAAGCTAACAATAGTCTGTACCAATTTCTCACTTCTAATTGTACGTATATATGTATGTATGTATGTATATACATGAACTGGATCTGACATCTGTCAAGCTTTCTTTTATAGCATAATAAAATACATACTCCATTTTTTGTCCTTGAATAGTAAAGATAGCCTGTCTTCTTTATTTTCCCAGAAGTTTGTCATGACAGGAATCTACTGTCATCTCAATCCTGCTCCTTTTTGACCAAAGACATACATTTGCATAAAATGACTCTTTGTTGTGCATATATTCAAACAAACTGCTGGAAGACTTTAGGTATACATTGGAGGCTTTAGTGCTCATTTACATGAGTTAACATAGTAAATTATACCAAAATTCAAGCCTTTATTATCTAAAAATCTAAATTAAATTCTGACTTTTCAGCATAGATTTAAAAAAATTATCCCATAAATAATAAACATGAATTTTGTACCTCTGAATCAAAATTGTCATTATTTAATGGAATTAGAAGTTAGGTCACAACAGCATGAGCAAGAGAAGTGCTGATATAAGTAACATTCAGAAGCGGTAAAGGGTTTTTCATTCCAAACATTGCTATTGATTGTTGCTTCCTGTTTATAAAAAACTAAATTTGATTTTTTATAATTTAGAAACACAGAAATGGATAATATTTAAAAAAAAAAAAAAACCTCTTCACTCAATTGCAGCCAATTTCAAAGAAAACGTAGAAATAACTCACCATTGATTTCGAGCCATGGAAGGCCTACAACAATCTCAAGAATCTTTACTCATTTCCTAATCCTTGTCCACCTAGGAGTCCTATCTAGTGTCTCCTTTCTCTGATACTATTGGATCTTCACCATTCATCAGTTACTTTTTGTTTTATGATTATCTTTCTTTTAACGGAATTAACATATTCTTCATTAAAATGTCCTGTTTCCGTTCCTAAGATTATATATTTTATAAGCACTTTCTAGTTAGCTAAGGAGTAGCAGCATGCTTACCTTCAAAATAGATACCTGACTGGATTTCAAGGACCCTGGGGAGGGTCCTGAGGTCAAGCGAGTGGACAAATTCTTCCAGTGATAATGCCATTGTGTTGGCTTGAGTTTCACACAGATCTGCTATTTACAGTGGATTGTGACTGCTAGATGTCACTTGTCTGCAATTGCAGTTCCTGTACATCATTCTTCCCTCAAGCAAACAAGGGTGTCACACTAGAGCAGACCTAAGGAGGAGTAGCTCTGTGTGAAGAAGATACTGAGAAAGACGGGAAAAGGTTACAGTCCTCTTTGTTCTCATTGTGGCTTCATTTCCTTCAGACACTGAAGTCGAACAAGATGGGGGTGGAGTAAGCATGTTTCAACACACATTGACAAAAATATATATACAGAATTGATGCATACCTTGCTTTGTCTGTTGCTTGTCCAGATGTAGATTTACAGCTGGGGCAAACTGTTTGAAGTCAGAGCTGCTTGTGCCTAATCTACTGCAAAAGAACAGAATGCTGGATCTGTGTTTAATCTTAAAAATAGTACCATGTTACATTGTAATCTTTGTAGCTCCTTTCTAAAGTTTGGCTTTACACTTTATTTACATGCATTCATTGCTTTTATATTAAATTTGGTTACAAAACTACTTTGAGTCAGTTCTTTTCAGAAATCTGATATTCCATGGAGAAAAAAGATTGTAATAATTTATTCTTCCACATTAAAAAAATTGCTGACACAAAGTAGTCTGGGTAAGGGGTGCAATATTCTAAGTAATAGATTAAGCTACTATGAATTTTCTTAGGTGGTGCTGTGAGAGAATGTACTAGACCACAATGTCGGTGGTTCAAAGTCACCAGCCGCTCCTCGGAAAACCTACAAAGGGTTGGTATGAATTGGAGTTGACTAGATGGCACTTAATATAACAACAGCACTTAGTAACAATAACAATAAAAATAACACTTAATAACAATAGTATAGTGAAGACTTAGGTGTGGCACTGTAAGGTAAGCACTGGACTGAGAACCACAAGGTCAGAGGTTCAAATTCACCAACTGCACTTAGGAAGTTGACCGCTATGAGTTGGAACCTATTCAACAGCACTTCACAACGACATAGTATAGTGAGGGAGTCCTGGTTTGGCACTATAGGATAAGCACTGACCTAGTAACTGCAAGGTTGGTAGTGCAAACCTACCAGCAACTCCTCGGAAACTGTATACAGGGTTGATATGAGTCAGAACTACTCAACAGCACTTAACACCAATTGTGTAGCGAGACATATCAGGAAACCTGAGTTTTCTGAGTTTAGCTCTGCTTTTAATTTATAAGATGACTTCAGTCTTATCTCTTCTATACCTTTGTTTCATCTATGAAGTGAATAAAAATTAAAGGTGTGAATGAAATTAGCTTTACCCAAGACCAAAATACTAAAATTCTGATCTTGTGGTACAAATTTAAAGGAAGTCAAACAAATTTCATAAAATTTAATCTCAAATATCTTCCTTTTCTCTATTATTTATATTTAGCTGAAACCATGCCTTAAGTTAGAGTATAAAATCCAAGGTGATATTCACTGGGTCTCTAAGTATGAATAATAGAAGACTGGTTGGTATATATACAGGTGAAAGAGGCTAAGAAGCTGCACATTCTCTTTATAAATTAGACTCCAGCTTCCATCTAGAAACTGTTTTGGCCTTAGGCGGAAGTAAGCTTAGCCAGAAAGGGGTCAGAGATCTTCCTAGCTCTACCATATTTTCCATCTAAATGACTTAGGTATGAAAATATTCCTTTATTTTGATATAGAGTTTTACAACCCTTTGTCAGCTGTTTGTAATCATACTTGACACATTTAATAATCTGTTTAGGATTTCTTTCACCACCAAATTAAAATTTATGGTTGGTTACATCAACAGTTTTTTCACCAGCTTCTTCTACTTAATCACTTGCAACTTTCTGACTGCAAATATCCCAGAATTGAGGAATTTGCCTTCTGCAACCCTTCCCCAAAACTCAGGCTCCTCAGTCTACTACAAACATTGTTGACAGCCTAACACAGTAGTTCTCTCCTTGTTGACTGTATAAAAAATAGTACTGCCAAGTATTCTTTAAAAATCATATATTTGTCAGAATTGGTGCTACAACAAATTTCATCTGGTACTTAATCCAAACTTGATTCTTTTTAAGTGTCCCAAGTCAAGTTTTTACCCTATTAGTAGAAGAAGTCTTGGTGGTATAACAGTAAAGTGTTCAGCTGCTAACTGAAAGGTTGGAAGTTCAAACCCACCCAGCAACTTCACAGGGGAAAACCCTAGCAGTAACAATTACAATCTGGAAAAACCAATGGGGCAATTCTAGTCTGCCACACAGGGTCACTATAAATGAAAATGGACTCAGTGGTACCTAACAACAATAACATCTAAAGTTTTTTTTTTTTTTTTTAATGTAGGACAAAATAAGCCCAAAATTGAGAAATTTTATCACTAATAGAACTGAAGTGGTAGTAAGATGGTAGGCTAGGTAGTAAGTTTCTACAGACCCTTTACAACAAAGATACTGAAAACCAAATGAAAGAGATGAGATGCTGATAGTCCTGCAACCCTGAGCTTCACATGAAGGGGTAGAGCAGTGGACTGAATGCTTACTGGGAGCTAAAGATGAACAGATGTGACAAAAAAAAAAGAAGATAGACTGGTGACTTGTGCCACCCTACAAGATGCAGTGTGGCCATCTTAAACGTCTGTGAGTGACTACAGAAACAGGACAGCATGTTAGCATTGCAGAAACATACCGGTGATTTGAGGATATGAAGAGGTAATATTTTCTTGTTCCCCACACTCCTCTATTGATCAGAGGTGTGGTCAACCCCAGCCCACATATATCCCCAGTGAAGCTCCAGCTCTCCAGGTAGTCAGAGTCACAGAAAGGTGAGTGGCACAGTTGTGAGTAGAATCAAAATGAATCAAAAGCTATCCACATCAACCCCAGCATCTGGATTCAGATGAACTCTGCTCCAAATCTGTAGAGCCAGGCCTGACCAGCCTTGGACTAGCCCTCACTAGGAGAAGCAGCTGAACAGACATCTGGGGAAACAAACAAAAAAAAAAGGGAAACAGGTGATCTGTACCAGTCGGCACGGCAGCACAGCATGACCATCTTGAACTTCCGTGGGTGACTGTGAAAGCAAGAGGGTGCTTGATGACAAAGAGGCATACCACTTATTGGCAGAGATAGAGGTGCAAATTTTTTTCTTACACCCCACATTACCCTGGTGACCAGATTCTGGCCAGCCCCCACCCACTTACATGCTCAACAAAGTTCTTGCTCTCCTGGCAGTCTGAGCCACATCAAAGTGGGTCAGAAATTAGCAGCACCAACATTCATACCTGGAATTAGATGTGATCTGCTCCAGATCTGCAGAGCTGCTTCTGGTCTGCCCTGGTCTAGTGGGACCTCTCACCCTTGACTACATCCTGGGACAGAAATACCCTGATTCCCCAGCTTCTTTGGAGTCTGCACAGTCTGATTCCAGATCGGGTGCCCAGAACAAACAACTCGTAGCTCTACAGGAACTCCATCTAGGGCCAGAGAGCCACTGTCTCATCACTTGCCTGTCCACTATGTGAGGTCCGTGGCTGGCAGGACAACTCAAAATTTTCTTCTCTGGTTTTATCACCTGCCTTGCACTTTTCCTCTCATTGTTTATTTATTTGTTTTTCCATCTAAATGACTTAGGTATTAAAATACTACCTTATTTTGATAAAGAGCTTTACAAACCTCTTCTATCTACCCTTGCATTTTAGCCTACCTCTGCTTTCATTTTTCTTCTTCTTCTTTTTTTTTTTTTTTTCTGCTTTTGTTTCTAAACTACTACTGCCTCCTTACTTTTCTTCTTTCTATCTCTTGGCTTTTCTTCACTACTCTCTGATCTCCTTCTCTTTTATTCATCCATTGTCCTAATTTTGTTTAGTTATTTCCCTTTCTTTTAATTTCCTCTCTTATTTTTCCTTCTTCAAGGTTATTTAACTTTGTTTTTCCTCTCCCTCTTTTCTCTTTCTGATTTTCAGTTCCGTATTCTAGTTGATGACTGTTTTTTGCTTTTCCTTGACTATTTTCTGTTTTGTTTTTTGTGTTTTTTCTGTTTTGTTTTGTTTTTTGCTGTTGTTTGCCTGCTTGTTGGTTTATTTGCTTTCCTTTCCTCTTGTGTGCAGATGCTTTCTCTTCTTGTCCAATCAGACAGGGGACAAAAGCCATCCCATGAAATAAACTACAATCTTCTATAGTCTATCCAACCAGGGAAGGGCCAATACCAGCTGCTATACAACTGACCAATGATAATAATCAACATCAGCCAAACTCATCCTGAACTGAGCAGCACAAACGACATATAAAAAACTGTGCACATATCTTCATCCCTTAATTTCACCCAGCATAAGGCAGCTGGTGAATGACTAAGAATACATTAACATAAAATCATCATTAAAAAAAAAATACAACAATGTCTCAGAAGCAACAGACAATTTCTGTTTATACAAAAAAATCAAGTGGTTCAAACAAGTGACAAAAAGCAGAGCTATAAAACATTTTTGAGGAAAAAAAGTCATTTGAACTACCTGAAAAATAATTCAAGTGAATAATATTAAGTGAATAATTAATATTTATTAAAATAAATGACAGAAAGTTTGAGGACAATAAGGAGAAATTTGGGAGAAAAAAACAAAGAAACAAACAAACAATGGGTAAGGATTGGCGATGATACAAAGCTTACTAATAGAAATCGAGAAGATCAATACTAAGATTTCAGAAACGGACAATACATTGAAAGGACAAAGGAATAGATTTGGATCAAAGGAGGCCAGAATTAGTGAATTTGAGGATAAATCTTTCAATACTAGTAAGCTATAAGAATAATCAGAAAGAATGAAATATCCAAAGAAAATCTAAGATTTATGTGGGACAAAATGAAGAGGAATAATTTATGGGTGATTAGAATTCTAGAACAGGAAGAGACAAATAAAAACACAGAAATGATAGTCTAAAAGCTGTTGGAAGAAAACTTCCCTATCATCATGAAAGATGAAAAGATAAGTATTCAAAAAGTTGAATGACCACCAAACAGGACAGACCCCAAAAGAAAAGCATCAAGACATATCATATTCATAATCACCAATATCAAGGACAAGGAAAGAATCCTGAGAGCAGTACAGGAAAAATGAAAAGTCACCAACAAAG